AAAACGAATTGTATTTTATTTATAACATTACAATCATTTTATTCTCCTAGTATTGTATTTCATTTATTTACTAGTTAAACAAGTCTTTCGTAAATAAAAAAAATTTAATAGAAAAAGGGGCCAAAAATGTAGGTGTTCCCCATTTTGTTTTAGGCTGCGCACGCTTATGGGATGCACCTAAGCCTTTGGATTTCTGTGTCTGTGTACATGGCACGGATAAAGATCGAAATGTGACAGCTGGGAGTGTCCGGTTAAATCACACATTAGTCGCACGGTGTGAATAAAGTTATAGAATGTCCATGAACGGATTATTTCTGACAATTCTGGCTAACGTTTACACTACCCGCAGGGCTCCGTTCGAGAGTGTCTTATGTACACAAGAAGTATTTTTGTATAAAAATGCGATGGAGAGTATGCCTTTCACAGACTAGGTTGATATACGTAAATCGCAACGCTCAGAGTTTCTTCTCCAACACCGAAATATATTGTGATGCGTCAACTTAAATGTAGTGTGGTTAGGCTTAGTAATAACATGTAAATAAAATTTTGTGACAGCGGAACTCGATACCACCTTCTCCGTCTCACTTGTCTTAAAAACTTCGCACCAGTAGTCTTATCTGTAATCACACGACTGCAACTCTTCCTCGCCGTTATCATACGACACCTAGCCACATCGCGTTGGCTAATGTCAATATCATTCGGCTTAAGTTCGAAATATGCGTCGAAGTTGTACCTATTTTGGAATTTACCCATCCAGTTTAGAATGGATTCCCAGATTAACTGGCTAATTCGAGAATGAACCACATTCGCACTTTGAAACGTACGCGAATGTTATGTTGCAGATGAATAGGAGTTGGGAAAAATATCAACACCTGACATATACAAAATATTTATTTATTAATAAGTTGTTGGACCACCATTTGCTTTTAGAACAATTGGATTCTTCGCAGAATAGATTTGTAGAGTGGCTGAATAGCTTCCCACAGAACGTTTGCTCATTCATGTACCAAAACATCCGCCAATTGGTTCAGCGATGTTGAAACTGGAAATCTGCTCCTCGCTCTCTGCTCTTAAAACGCTCCAAAACGGCTCAATTAAGTTGAGTTCTTCCGATTATGCTGGCCAGGAACATTTTTGATGATATTCTGAAGCGCCGCAAACCACGCTGGAAACTTTGCTGTGTGAATGGGCGCATTATTATATTCAAAAATGGCAGTGTTTGGCCACAATATGCTAGTCATTGTACGCACTTCATTGTTGAGGATGTCGAGATATTCATTCGCAGTAATCCGGCCAGCGACGATGATGATAAGACCAACTAAATACCACGATATAGCCACCCAAATCATAACGAAATCTCCCATATGCTTGACTGTAGGAAGCAGGCAGGCTGGATCGTTGGATTGTTTTGGGTTTCTCCATACATCCCGGCCATTTGTAGGAAACATAAGTAAACGACAATGCAGCGGATCATTTCACATCCTTCCAGTCATCAAGTGTACAGATTGATGATCGTGGCACCACTTCTTTCGCAGATTTGCGTTGGCTCCCGTTGTGAAGGGTTTAGCAATTGCAGCCCTTCTATGAATGTTAGCTTTCTGAAGTTCCCGCCGTACTATTTTTGTGGAAAAAATATAACTCAAGTGAGTGCTAAGTTCTGCAATCACGTTTGTCGCGATAGTTTTACGTTGTCTGGCCACACTTCTTTTTAATGTTCGTCAGTCTCTGTCAGTTGTTTGGCTTTCTATTCCCACTATTCCTCTTCGCCATTAATGTTTTACCGTTTTGTGTATGCTGCGATTACCGTGGTCACTGAAGCTGGTTAAACGTTAAGCAGTTCAGCTGTTTTTATCACAGATACTCCCGCTAACAGCACACCAATGATTTGTTCTTTTTCGAAGCGTGGGAGATCACACATTTCAACGAACGCTTGTATTCACTGTCGCAGGAAACAGCCTATAATACACTGCAATAAGCCTTCAAAACGTGGCACGTCAACTGTGCAATTCAGCCGCTTAATAGAGTTTACACGTCCCCCAATTTTTCTTTGAAAAAATTGGAACCGTTTTTATGAAAATAACGTTAAACGCTACTGTAAATTCAAAATTTGAAGCATATTTTTTTTGTTTTCGAAAATTTTCATTTGAAGTCATTTTAAGTACTTTAATACACAAATAAAATAGTGTTTACAAATTGTTCGAAATGTGCATATTAACGGCATGAGTGATAATACAATAAAATTACATTTGTATAATTTTAGAAAAAATGTCCGATATTGAACTTTATGTCATATTAAACATTACAATTATCCCTTCGAAAAGTTTGAAGGAAAAAATTAGGAGCCGTTTTTGAGAAAATTGCATTCCAGAGTTTCTGAAAATGCAAAATTTTGAGCTAGTTTTTAGAGAATATGTTTGAGTTTTTGAGAAACATTATATGACATTATTTCAAACACATGTACTCCTAAATATAATAATGTGAACAAATCGCCGCTAATATTAACATGAGAGACGCGTACAAAACATTACATAATTTAAACTTTTGAAAAAACAAAAGAATATAGCAATATGACGTTTATGTAATCTTATATAGTACATTTAGCACTATCCCCACAAAAAGTTTAAAGAAAAAATTTGGAGTCGTTTTTGTGAGTTTTTGCAATTTTTTAAAATTGCACATTGCGCGAATACTATTAAAACTTTGAAAAAAATTACCTGACCTTAATAAAATAACTCACAATGAAGAAACATTGTATTTGAAAGAAAAATCTCTTTAATTTTGTACTTGTAGGAAGACATCGAAAAAATCATACTTTTGAAATGTTCGAAAATTCTGAGTTAACCGTGAAAATAGGGCCTATGCCACGTTTATAAGGATATCTTACTCTATTCTTATAAGTAATTTAAAGAAAAAATGTGAAGCAGTTTTTGAGAAAATTTTCAAAATGTCTGGAAGGCTTCATGTAAAGTACCCCCAAATTTTAAAGAATGTTTTTCAAAATCTCTAAGCTTCGACTCGAATCAGGCAGACAGGGGTTTCTTCAGTTTTGAAAAAATTCTTCGCATGGTTTAGACGCTAGTGGTATTCACTGACGGACGCCCTTGAAATGCACATTTCCTGCAATTTGTAATAGCTATTGTATTTGTGATTCATTGTGCTTCAAATGACTTAAATTAAGTTTTTCGAAAACTTAAACATTTTCTGTGTAAAAGAGTTTCAAATTTCGAATTTACAGTACTGCTTGAACGCTGTTTTTTAATAACGGTTCCAAATTTTTCAAAGAAAATTGCCATTTAGGGCGAAATATTACTGATCTTTAATAACCGTAAAATAATATTTCCGCTCTACAATTAAGAAACCGAAAAATTAAGAAATTGTCAAAAAAATGTACTTTGGGCGGCAACAGATGGCAGCTGGCCAGAGTATGTAGCAAGTATGTAGCGAGTAGATAGCCGTGACCAAAGGAAATAGAAAACGTGAAATACGTGAAAGTCTGTGCCATTCTGTAGCACCTCTTCCTTCGGCCAGGGGCTCAGTCGCCGGTAATAAGTGGGGTTACCAGGCGGGCACCCTTTCCAGGAATTAATTTTGTCTGAAGCTGCTTAACTTCCTTGATTTCACAGAGCATCGTTAAACAGTCCGGTTAATGTCGTCGGCTTATATCATTGTTACACCAAGTTTTATATCATTATAAAGACTCATTCATGTTGCATTATGATTTTATCATCTGTGAAAGATATCATATAACTACTGCGAAAAAACTAAGCTATCGGCATTGCCATCTTTACAAATTCTTGGTCACCTGAGCTGTTTATTGAGAATATTATTTTTTATTTTCATAATGTCAATAAACTTTTTAAACATTAATATAGGTTTTTATATTAATTACATCCTACTTAAACATTGTTAAAATTTCTTTTTAGAAAAAATCCTCTTTTACAGTGTTCTCATTTGGAAAAAAATCCTGAATGTTTATAAATATAGACCCAAAGAAATTCATAATTTTTAACATACTGATTAAACACCCACTCTACCAAAATGTGGAATTTTTAACATGTTTCATTTCTGTGTGTATGAGCGATCTGATAACGTTAAAGTACAAATAAATATTTTATAGGCATATTATTTTTTGATACTGCCAATCTGGATGCAGAGGTGGCTATAGCGTGTGGTGACTCAGCGCCTTGGACTGAAGGGTCGCGGGTTCTTGCCCCGCCGTGGGCATGGTTGTTTGTCCGTTGTCTTTCATGTGTGTGCGTGGTCGCGGAAGGCCTTGTGAGTCTGCTGACCACAGACCGAAGAGCCCGCAAGTGTGTCTAGTGTAAAAAGGTAAATATGTGTCTCAATGAGGAATAGCGACATAATTTGCATCCCTGAAGGTGGAAAAAGTCACAGGAAGAAAAATATGTAATTTTTCGTTATGTTGAAGTTTTCTGTGCTGCATTCAAATTTTGATGATGCCTAGTATTACATATATATATATATATATATATATATATATATATATATAGAGAGAGAGAGAGAGAGAGAGAGAGATACTACTTTTGCCGTCTTTCATAGGTTTTTACTAAAAGCAATTAATATTTTCTGATTGCGAAATTTTAATAAAAATTGTGGTACTTAATATGTGAGCTGGGAAGTAGTAATGAAGCTGGAAATCATGTGCTTCAGCACGGATAAGATTCCTCTGGCTCTCAGTTACATACTGAAGGGATCAAAAACCAGAAGAGTTACTAACAAATGTGAGTTTTTTCCACTTTTACACCACAATTAGTATAGAATTTGACACTTTTTTTGAAATGTTAAGTTATATGCCTATTGCAGATTTATTCCCTTTTACTTAGAAGAAGCAAAAATCATAATTTAAAAATAAAGGCAATGAATTTCCTTGATTTTTCGTCATTGATAATTTTATTTGTGTAATATTTGGATATCCATTTCACTTAGCATGCAGATGGAGTAATAAATTAGTACTAGTTAAAACTAAGTATAATTCTTACCTGACAGAAAGAGTTCCTGCAAGCGAAGGTTGTGAAAGAAAGTGAGGCGATGCAGTTGGGTGATGCGGTTTCCTCGGAGGTACACTGCTCGTAGCAGTGTCAGGTGACGGAAGGCATCACGGTGCACCTAAACAAGGAATCAAATACTTATGTTCTCAGCCGTCTCAACCAATCAGCCTGATTCGTGTTAAATTTGAAGTGCCCGTGAATTCCTAAAATGTATTAATAAAATCCATTTGGACTTGAGCTGCGCATACTTAGTAATTTTTGCAATTTTCGAAAACTCAGAGTGTAAAAAAACGAGAATATGCTATTTTTAAGCATACTTTGTTCTTTCTTTAAAAAAAATTAAAGAACAACATTGGAGCAGTTTTCGAGGGAATTTTTTTTAATCGCATTAACTAGATACAAAAATTACACAAAACAACTCATTTTAAAAAATTGTACATGACCTTTTTTTAAAGATTTGATCTTGTAAACATATTTCATTTAAGACAAATATCGCTCTATTCAATATTGTACTTTTTGCAATTTTTTTCTCACGAAAATACAGTTTGCCAAAAATGGGACCAACACCGACTTCTTACCGTCTTATGATGCATACGAGGAGAAAATGTAAAGAAAAAGTTCGGAGCCAATTTTGAAGAAATAATTGTTTAGAAATTTCTTTCAAAATTACGCTAAAACTACTCATATTTTCGAAAAAAAAACTGTTTATGATTTATTTGAAGATATTTCACATGGAGAAAATATTTCACAGATAGATGGCATAGACTTTCTCGTATTATTTAGTTTTCTAATTTCTTTGGTCTGGTGTAGCTTTTCTGTCTTGCTCTGTTCTTTTACCAGCTGCCATCAATCGGCGCACAAAGTACTTTTTTTAAATTTTCTCAATTTTTCGGTTTCTTAATACAAGAACCGAAATATTACTTTCAGAATATTAAAGTAGAAGAAAACGTTATCCTAAATGGTAATTTTCATTAGAAAATTTGGTGCAGATTTTAAGAAAATGGCGTTTAAGCTTTGCTGTAAATTGAAAATTTGAAACTCTGTTTCACAGAATTTTTTTAATTTTCAAAAATTTCTTCTTTTGAAGTCATTTGAGGGACTTTAACTTATAAATGCAATAGTGTTTACAAATGGCTGGAAATATGCATATTAACGACGTGAGAGATATTAAAAAAACATTTGTGTAATTTTTGAAACCCTACCAAAAGCTTAAAAAAAATTTGAGCTGTTTTTGAGAAAATCTTGTTTTTGTTATTTTTTAAAATTGCACACAGTATTTCGCGAAAACTACTAAAATTCTCAAAAACTGTATATGGCCTTTATGAAAGAACTAATTATGGACAGCAAATTTCATTTGGAGGCAGACTTTCTTTCTTCAATTTTGTTATTGCAGGAAGTCGCCGACAAAAAAATCATACTTTTACAATTTTCGAAAATTCAGTTCAATGTAATTTCGTATTAGATAAATATGTTTTATAATTACGTATTTCAATATTATATAATATGTCCGATTTTACTTATTTTGAAATTGTATCCCACATATTTTTCCGGACTCTTTTAACTATATATAACTTTTAACTCTTTATAACTATGCAAAAAATTGAAGAAAAAAATACACTTCGGATTTTGCCTTTTTGTATAATAATCAAAGAGAACACCCTCGATCGTAATACTGCTGTAATAAAAAATATATTTTCGAAAGAGTAATTTTAAAAAAATCGAAATATTTGTTTCGGATTTTCTAAAATAATTTGGGAAATCTCTCATTACATTACTGTGGTAATTCAAAACAAACGAGAGGGAGCGCAAAAATTCTCCATTTTGAATGCCTTAATTTCTATGTTAACTTAAGAGTTCACTCACGAACGTGATGCCGTTGTAATCCAAGATGAGCATTTCGAGCGAGCTGAGCGGCGGCTGGTGGCTCAGCGAGGTGTTGGAGAGCGTGGAGATGTTGTTGTGCGAGAGGTCGAGGATGTGCAAGTCCCTGGGCAGCGGCCGGGGCACCTCCGTGAGGGACGCGTTGAGGCAGTCTGTGCGGGAGCCGATGTACGTGTGGTAGGAGGTGCAGCCCTCGATGTCGTCGGCCATCGCGGTGGATGCCGTCGCCAGCAGCGCCGCCGCCACCGCTACCGCCACCATCGCCGCTGCCGCGAGCCCTCGCGATTTTCGCTCTCCCATGCTGGCTTGTGACCTGGAAGAACAAATGTCAAAATGAGCTTTCGGGAATGGATGTCCGCGGGGGTGGCAAGGGGGCGGTGTATTCGCCTCAAAACCAACATTTTCCTCAGTTTTGCTCAGTGTATTTAAAACAATTGCCTCGAACTGATCTTGTCATATCTAAAGTATAATTTATTTTTTTAATTTAAGCCCTCAAAAATATTTCAAACATATTTTGGGGGTGAGAGTCAAAACTGAAGTCCCTCCCCACCAATATTTAAGAATCTGCCTTTGATGGATGTACATAGCGTTATGGACATCCTTTTTGTTGATCCCCTGCTTGCATATGGAATGAACAGTATTCTTCAAAGTTCACTCATTCAGAATCCCCTTTTTTTAAAAGTTTTAGCGTTTTGGTTATCTGAAGCTTCGTCGGTCGAAAGTCATTGGTTCGTCTACCGAGAGTGACGGATTATCAACAGCAACTACGGAGCTGGTTAAGAATTCTCGAGGCGGTCGCAAAGATCAATCGTTTTTGTGATTTCCTCTGATATTTAGGTGGATGTCGAAGCAGCTAATACAACTGGTCGCATGCGATCCTTCTCCGTCCTGACTCGACTTCCATCTTTATGGCCAAGTTATACGCCCGTTTCTCATCCACAGGGTGACCATGGTTAATTTTCTCCAGAGGAACAACCAAGCCTCCAGGGATGTGGGACAAATCGACTAATTGACAAGTTAAACGAAGACCTTTTTGCCACACGCAATCTGAATGAATCCTAAGAATACTCTCGAAACAGTTTCTTGTCTACTTAACTTCATTGGTACCTTCTAAAGCGAGAAAACTGTTAGTGAAAAACCTACAAAAGGATTAATTGTGATATTGACGGGGAAAAATAAATATTGTTTCGGCAAGAGACATCAAACTTTAGGGATGAAGATCCATGGCACTTCCCCTCGCGTCGATTCGCTCCTGCCCATTCTCATGACACCTGTTTGTCGTGATCTTGAAAGAATACCGCAGTAGTAATGCCCAGTCCTGGATTAATATATAAGCGGACTAAGTATTTGCTTAAGGTCTTCGCCTGATAGAGACCTCCGGTAACGTTTTAAACAACGTTTTGTATTCAACAGTATTTAAGATATGTTTACATTATTTTTAGTTTTTCTTATACTTAGTTTAGAGAACGTTGCGATTTACTTTGGAGCGTTAAGTAATGGTGTCTATTGACCTGTCTGCAATTTCCAGACTAATAAAACCGTGCAATATCGTATAATTGGACTGAATGTACTCTTTATTTTTTAGATAATACTTTTTACGCAGTATCTATTCTAGCGTTTTCAATAACACCTCCTTTCTTTTCCCCTTTTCACTTCATTGTTCGGCCCGAGTAACTCAGACATCTGAGGCGGCAACCTCTCTGAGCTAGGGTTGTGAGATCGAATTCCACGTGGATATTTTCCTTTTGTGAAAGGACTACTACGGTACCAGCAGGCAGGTCCACGACAAAAGTCATAACTAAATTCAAAACGCGAGTGTGGAAAACAATACTTTCGGCCGCAGATTTTACGCAAATGTCAGTGGTATTGAACAACGGCACAATTGTATCACATCTTTTTTCTGGTGAATATGTGCAAAGAGGAAAAAGTTAAATTAATTAATAATAATTTACTTCGGTGTGAGTTTTCGTTACCGACTCAAGCACGATTATGGCGGCAATCACACTATGCAGTGATTGTAAGTTGGCATCCCTTATAAATGTTCCCTTCTAATTGTGTTGTGGAAGGCAGATATGAACCGTAACCATTCACAAGATCAGTACATTCGAAATAGTCCTGTAAAACCGGACAATTCGTATTTTGCTGCTACATGGCCGCCATACGCCGTCATTAATGTTTCACTTCAAGAAAAATAATATATTTTTTTCGCAAATTCCCAACAGGACACTCAGCGACAATTCGTGGTGCGACATGTAGGTGACTTCTGTTATGAGTAATAAAATCGGAATATTGAAATAGACCCCCAAACCAGCTAAAGGAACGAAATCATTAACTGGGCGGAACGAGGTTTGCAGGCTCATTGCAAACCGTATTCTTCATATAACACAACACGTCTTGAGACGCTAACAAACCTTATGAAATGCTCGCACACGAAAAATGAATGAGAATTGTACCTAGGAGACAGCTCGGTTTGTAGACACGTTTGCCAACTTCCCTGGCAGGAATTAAAGAGCGGGATGCTTTAAAAGAAACGGGAGGAAAATCCCCGAAGGAAAAAAAAACAAACTGCAATTGGATAAATTCAAAATCATTTCATTTAAAATAACCTGTGGATGAATCTGAAAATCTATAAAATGAATCAAATCAATAAGTGAATAAAATCAATTAAATGAATAAAATCAATCAAATGATTAAAATCAACGAAATGAATAAAATCAATAAATGAATAAAATCAATAAAATGAATAAAATCAATAAAATGTATAAAACCAAATTTATTCATTTTATTGATTTTCAAGCGGAGACCTTAAGCAAATGCGTAGCCTGTTTATATCCAGGACTGTGCACTACTGCAACCCACCTGCAACCGAGAGAGAAACCTTCACTATGACTTCTCCCGTACGCACCTAGTAGAACGCTTACCCCATAGAGCAGCTCCGTCAGCCCAAGAACGCTAGACGCGTGTGTGGCGCCAAGTGCGCTCGTTGCAGAGCTTACTGGCCCTTAAACGCGCGCGCGCGCGTCTCTCGTCACCAGAATAAATCGGCACGCGGTCCGCGACGCGACGCGACGCGACGTCTTCGCCCCGACGCCAACTGCTCTTGATTCGGGAGGTCGCGCTCTCCGCGCCGCTCGCCAGGGGGCGCCCCCGCGAGCCGCAGCTGGTCGCCGCGTCGCGCCACAGCGGCCACACTGGGCCCGGGGGGGGGGGAGGAGGAAGTTCTTGAAGGTGACTAACTTCTCGCACGATCAGATCAGTGGATAGATTTTGGCTTAAAAATATGATATTCATTGTTGGTGGTTGATGAATTTTTTCCCATTATTTTGTCAATTATTTATCTTTTTGAGTGTATGTGATTGTTGTATTTGAATATTAACAATTGGGAAATATTAACTACTTTTATTATCTTTGACAAATTGTTATGTTTTCATTTGTTTTATTAATCATAATTTATATTATTATTATTATTATTATTATTATTATTATTATTATTAATGTCAATGTATTAACTTTTGGAATGCAAGTTTATTATTGGTAGATTTCAATATTATTAGCAAAAAACTGTTAACTAATAATTTCTTCAACAAAACGTATATTTCATATTAAGAATTAAATTTCGAAATTTAGTAGAGTTTCAGAGAGATTAGTTACGAAATTTTGCATTATGTTTTCTTCGATAACAGCGACCCTCGACAAAGAAGAAGACCAATGACCCTCTTTCCATCTTTTTGGTCGATGTGGAATTGGTGGTGAATGAAGACGATTCGCTCACTTCCTTTGTCTCCTCTTGTCAATGATTCTTCGTCATTCCCTCATCAATAACCGCACATCAATTCATCTCATACATCCCAGTCGTCATTAACATCCGCCATCTGTTCTTCGTCTCATCCATGCCATGAAAAGAAATTATATGGGAATCAGAAAATAATAATCCAAGTGATAGTTATGATTCGGTTGAGATGATTCCTACGTATCCCTAAATTAAGACTATATTTTACCGGCAAATGTGGCTCAGGGCATCATCTGATGACACTAGAGTGCCTCTTACCGGGAGGTATTAGGTTAGAGTCCCGACGACGGCAGGAGTTTCGACACTAGGAAGAGAGCTAGGTCGAGTTCAGCCGCTGCCTGGAAGAGAATTCTGGCGGTCATCTGCTCTGATCGGTAGTTTTCTGCGATCTCCAGTCAACACCAGGCATGTGCCGGGCAGTACCCTAACAAACGCAGCAAGGACCGTGCGCGATCTTTCCTTTCTCTTCATTGTCCTATCCTCGTCACTTACTTACACTCACATGCTCTACACTATCACGCTAGGCGGGAGCTTATAGCATGTCCCGTTTGGGGCGATGGTCCGCTGGTAGGAGATACCTGGATAGAGAAAATCTCCGCAAGCGACGTAGGTCGGCGCCGGATCTTGCCAGCAAGCGGAGATCACAGCCATATCCAGAGATTAAACCCTGCACTACACTTACGGGACTAATGACCTTATCAGTTGACGCGCCCGAAATCACTAATCTATCAACCAATCAAATGGCTACATTTTCTTCGATCCAAGAATGTGGTTAGGTGCGACGTGGGGGCCATGTCCTCTCTGCATATGATACCTCTTCCAAGGGTCGTAACTACTGCGTGCCATTGCTCTTGGTTCGGCAGGCAGCGGCGCGAGCGGCGTTCGAACGCACGGTCTCTTGGCGGTCGGCGGTCCCGCTCCGCGTGCCGCAACTGCCAGAGGCGACTGTTGCGCTGCCATTGTTGCTATGTAATGTTGCACCTCTAAACATTGCAGGGAAGCAAGACGTCCCTAGCACTCGTCAGCCGCCAGGTCGCTCCTCTGTGCCACTGTCTGCGCCCGAGGTTCTCAAACCTTTCAACAGTGTATCCCTCACACACGATTTAAGCTTAGTTTATTTCTTGATTACACGACTAAAAGTTAAACAAAATAATTCCTTTGAATGTAGTAAATCATTACGAGAACACGAAAGAAAGTCAATTTCGTGAAGAAGTACTTTAAATTAGCATAACGAAATTCAATTGTATATCTCGGTAAAACAAAATAAACCAAGTGTGTCTACATTAAAAATAAAATAATACATTTTCAATTTCTATTAATGAGTACAAACAATAGGTTTGAGCTTTAATGTGAAAAAGACTGAGTAGTTTTATCTGTCAATGAAATGGTTGTTCCTGGAATATCTGGACGTTCTTCGTGTGACACCTTAATAATGTACCATATAATGAACGAATTCGTAATTTAAAATCATTCCCCATGGGCTTACGCTTACCACATTTTGGGAACCCATGCCCAACACCTGCGAACCCCAATTCTCAACTCATACCGCAAATCATACCTGCCACCATGCCAGCAGGTTTCTCCCTCTGATTAACGGAGTCACTCCACGGAGAATTTGAGGTTTTAAGTTTGCGGCAGGATAATCTTTCTGACGCTCCTCCTTCCATACTCATCTCATTCACTAATTCATCATTTCTAAAATAAGCAGATGTTCACAAATTGAATATTTCTTATATAGCCCCTATTATCATCATTATTTCATTATCATGATGAAGGGCACACATCAATATTTTCGCCATCAATCAGGGAAGACAATGCGGAGAACAATTATGACGTTCTATGAATGTAACGTTTAGAGAAGCAGACAAGTCTAATTTCTAAAGGAAGACAACCTTGGAAGATTGCCTGCTTCGGAAACTTGGTGTAGAATCAAACAAAAGAAAAGAAAGAAATAAACAACTTTGCGGCCAAGTCCTCAAAAGTAAAGCCAATTTTAATTTCATTGGAATGGACGATAAATTCAGTTCAACTAATCAAGTCACCGAAGAAAAGAAACATTAGAGCGTGAGAGATCCATGATACTGTAACCAATTTCCTTGTTTGTATCATGGTCTGGTATATTCCAACGGTTCTTTTTTTTTCGTTAACGAAAAAGAAATAGTGTTAATTTGTTGCTTCTTCAACTTAAGTTGTATTGATTAATGAAACCGACATAAATGAAGCGCAAGTTTCATTCTAGAAAAAAACTCAAGTCATAATTCAGCTTCAAGGGAGACATTACGGGGAGGGTGTGGTTAAATCTAAATTCTCACATAGGAGAAAGGTGTCTTTAAAAAAGCCATAAGTCGTCGTAAATTCATTTACCCTCTAGTGTTTAATTGAATAATGTTTATTTATTTTAAAAATTATCAAACTGCTTAAATGTTACTTTGCTTCTGATCTATGTAGCAAACACACACCTTCAATTTAAGTCTTTGTAAACAGATCCAAAGTTCATTAAAACGAGTTGTCAATTCGCGTGATGACCTGTGATAAAAATCCGGCGACAAACGGTCGAGACGAGTCCAACCCGTGTCTGGGCGGCAGCGGCTGAGACGGCGTCTGCCCCGAAATAGACCCGGCGAGACGGCCACTCCGCCTACGTCGTCGGCCGCCGAGCGACCTTCAGTGGAGCAGCGAGTCCGTTCCTTTCATTGCTCGTTATTAGCTGACTTTCGTCCCATTTGTCTTGTTCGCTCTTTGTGGATAATTCATCCTGCTCTCGCCAAGTGAGCCCGCCCGCGAGGCGCTCGCGCCGTGGCCGCCGTCGTTTCCGCTGCCGCCGGCGCGGCGTCGCGACGCCCTCCGCCCCGGACGACGCCGAGTCGCCCGCCTCCACGCGGTGCCGGCGCCTCCGCGGTGGAGGAAGGGAGGAACCCGTTGGAGGAAGGGCAGGCGGGGGCGTGGCTCACAACGTTCCTCACATGACTGTCACCGAGAAATTGGCAAGTTCCTGGTTCTTGTGAAACACCTGAATGTAAATGAGGATTCGGGAGGTGCTCAGGAGTGAAGTTTCGTACCAGGATAATGAATTTGAATTTGAAAAGTAGTTGCATCACAAATATAAAACTGGCATCTTTTTGATATTGAAAAACATTAAATTTTTGTTACAATAGATCATTTACGAAAATAAATATGTGGGCCCAAAGTTGTTAAAAATCAGCAGTAAAAAGGAACCAGAAAATTAATGTGGGCGTGATTTCATAAGAAATGGTCAATGTGTGTTGGAAACCACTGATGCCAATTAAGTTGTATTGTAATTCTGTTTTGGGGTTAGAGCTCGTAGTTGAATGAAATTGTATTGCCAGTTTGTTTAGATGAATAAAAATGCATTCACTAACCTGAAGTATTGTTATTCTAAGATCTTACGGAAATAACTTACCGATATTATCGTATATCCCCCCCATAAAATCTATCGATTCTCAAACAATACTCAAGTGGTTTTATGTCTCATCCCTCCTGACCTACATTCAAGCTTTACATTCATTGAGCTTTTGATAAAGCTAAGACAGCTTCATCGATTCACTTCTGAGTCTTCAAACGTTCGTAGGATTACGAAAAGTACAAAATCTAACAAATGAGTTAAGAGGAGAGATTCCTCCTTGAGATTAAGGAGGAGAAAACCAAACTTACACATCAAAATTAAAACTATTAAATTTGATTTTTTTAAGTTAAAGTAAAAATGCTTTATTTTGACTTAGGAGAACGAATGTGCATTAATTGTGATGAAACATTAAAGTGACATTAAAGAGATGAAATTCAAACATCCTCTACCTGACTGCAGATGCAGCACTCGTTCATTCATCAATCTCTCAATGTACCTCGAGTCACGCTGCGCCGCCGCCGCCGCCGCCCCCGCGTGGCTCGGCGCTGGTCGCGGGACGTCGTACGCGGGCGGCGGCGAGCGGGGGCGAGGCGCCGGGCGCGTCATATTGACCTTTGGTGACATAACGGAGATGGCCAGGAAGGACACGGAGGGCATCGGGGTAGTGATAGGCGCGGGCGGTATCACTTGCGGCGCATGCTTTCTGTGTGCCTTCGGCCCGTCCTCCTTGGCCGTCCAGGGCGCACCCGCACCTCGGGCGCGGGCGGGCGCGGGCGGGCACCGAGGCGCGGCGGGGCACGCGGCGGACGCGGCGGGCGCGGCGGAGCGCGGCGGGGCGCGGGCGGGCGCGGGGCGGGCGCGGCGGGCGCTGGCGGGCCGCGGCGGGCGCAGGGCGCTGGCGCGGGCGCGGCGGCGCGGCGGGCGCGGCGGGGCGGCGCGGTGTCGGGCGGGTGCGCGCGGGCGGCGCTGGGCGGCGGGCGGCACCGGGCGGCGCGGGCGGCGACGCGGGCGGTGCGGTCGGTGTGCCCGCGGCCGCCATTTGGCTACGTCAGGGCGCACCCGTACCGGCGGCGGGCTGCTGCGGGCCGGGCGGCGCGGGCGGGCGCGGGGGCGCGCGGCGCGGGCGGCGGGCGCGGCGGGCGCGGAGCGGGCGGCGGGCGGCGCGGGCGTGCGCGGGCGGGCGCGGGCGGGCGCGGGCGGGCGCGGGCGGGCGTCGGGCGGCGCTGGGGCGGGCGCGGGCGGGCGCGGGCGGGGGCGGGGCTGCGGCGTGCGGCGGGCGCAGCGGCGCGGCGCGGCGGCGGGCGCGGGGCGGAGCGCGGGCGCGGGCCGCGGCGGGCGCGAGCGGCGCGGCGGGCGGCGCGCGGCGGCGGCCGGCTGGGGCGCGGGCGGGCGGCGCGTGCGGGCGCGGGCGGGTGGCGGGCGGGCGGCGGGCGCGGGCGGGTCGCGGGGCGCGGGCGGGGCGGGGGGCGCGGCTGCTCGGGCACGTGCTGGCGCGGGGGCGCCGGGCGGGCGGGCGGCGCGGCCGGTTGGCGCGGGCGGCGCGCGGCGGCGCGCGCCGGCGGCGCGCGGGGGCGGGCGCGGGCGGGCGGGCGCGGCGGGCGCGGGCGGGCGCGGCGCGGGCGCGGCGGCGCGGGCGGGAGCGTGGGCGCGGGCGGGCGCGGGCGGGCCGGGCGGGCGCGGGCGGCGTCCTCCCTCGAAGACGCGGTGGCGGCGGCGGCGTCTGTCGGGGCACGCGGGGGGCGGTGGGCGCGCGGGCCGTTGCGCAACGCGGCCGCCCCGCGTGGGGCGCATGCCTGTTTATTTGCGCTGACCTAGTATCGGCGAAAGCGACCAATGTCGGCGCTCGCCGGGATCGCGATGGATGCAGGTTGTGTTCAAAGTTATTGCCGGATAATATTAACATCCCGAAGCGTATGGTGATGAGGTGGTACTTATTATTTCATTTACCATTGATGTAGGCGATTTTGAAAATAGGAATAAAAGTTGTTGGTCGTTTTAATAGATTTTGATCTGGTTCTTCCTAACTCGATACACAGCTGGTTTGCAAGTATAGTACTTTGTTATATTTCAAGGATCTACACACTTTGTCGTACTGCTGAGGTAAAAGTACTCTACTGCCAGTTGTGAAGTGCAACCAATACAGCTGTAGAAATAGATTAAGATAGCAGTGAATTATAAATGGAGCAAATACTCTTAAGTTCACAATTATTAATAGATTCGTGTAATAATATGTTTAGTTCAAACTGTCGTCCTTCAAAATAAATAATATGCAATTAGGAAAATTGTTCATTGCAATTTTTTTGAATTTGTATAAGGCTATTGACGAATCTCATTTAATTCCGTAATGACAGCATCTTAATAATGAATTAAAGAGTTCCATAAATATTTCGATCACGCCCACTGTCTCTCTGTCCCTCTGTCTGTCCATCCGCCCGTATTTTCGTCTGTCGGTCCTTCTGTCCGTCTGTCCGTCTACGTCCATCTGACGTCCGTCTGTTCGTCTGTTCGTCCGTCTGTCCGTCCGTGCGTCCGTCTGTCCGTCCGTCTATCAATCCGTCCGTCTGTTCGGCCGCCTGCCCGTCCGTCTGTCCGGTCGGTCGCCTGTCCGTCCGTCGGACTATCCGATCATCTGTTCGTCCGTTTGTCTGTCGTCCGCCTGTCTATCCGTCGGTCTGTCCGTCCGTCTAATCGGCCGCTTGTCCTTCTGTCTGTCCGTACATTTGTCTTTTCCTCCGTCTGTTTGTCTGCCCATCCGTCTGTCCGTCCGTTCGTCCGTCTGTTCGTTCGTCTGTTGCCAACGCTTAAATTGATATCGATCTGTCTGATGTTGCGGCCCCTTCAATTTGAAACCGATATTTTAATTTTGGGTGGTACTTTACATGAAGTTCTTGGGACATTCTCAAAATTTAAAAAAAGAACGTCCCCATTTTTCAAAATTAAATTTTGATGTTGTATAGTGTGAGGGACGTTTAAAAGAATGGCGCAGGTCTCATTTTCGTTAAAAACACTCATTTTTCGATAATTGCGAAATTTCAAAATTCCCTACAACTACAATTATTAAAATAGAGATTTTTCCCTTAATGAAATCTGTTACTTAAAGATATATTTTGAAATATAGTCATGTACAATATTTCGAAAATTTGTGTAATTTTTGCGTAATTTTGCGTTAAAGTACGGGCGAGAAAGTACGTGCTGTTTTAGCAAACACTAGTTATCATTAAAAAACGTACGCGGTGACTCAAAGACTGAAAAAGTGCGGCTGCTTCAATCACTGAGCGCGCTAGCAAGCAGTAACTTATTCTTCAGTGACCTGGAAAGATAAACATAATAGCAAATAAAAAGCAAATGAAAAAACTAAAAGGGAAAACTATACAACGGAATTTAGAAAAGGTTGACAACTCTAGTATCACTGAACCACCACCACTGATCAACTGCCACTGTCGTGCTCTTGAGTACACTGCCCGCCAAAACCATTTTGTTATTTCCCGAATATGCTAGCAGATTAGGTGAATAAGAAAATGGGAGGTACAGGCAGATGTCGAAGTATTTTGTTAAAGACCGGTCACAATATTTTTTTTACTTCTAGAGCATTAAGACGTACATAACGTATTAATTGATTAGCGATGTGTATTGTGCTTATAAGCCCGGAAGCTGTCAGCAATCATCAAATAGTCTCAGTATGGCAACAAGAACATTAGAATGTTCTCAGTGAAGAATGTGAGGTTATGGGGTGAGCTGTGTTCGGGCCCAACTCATCAATTAATTTTCCTTATCACAAGTTGGCACAATAGAAAAATAAAAGATGTAATAAAGAGGTCAAAGAGCAATACACGCGAGGTTAACAAGATATCGTACGATTCAATAGTCCTCTCTAGGAACAAAAGTGTTGTGGATTTTAGCAAGGGACGTAAGATTACGATCCCATTTTAACGGAAGACATTCTTCTCTTACTCAATTCAATGAGAAACTTATTGTGTAACTAACCAATTTTCTTTTTTATACTAATTTAATACGTTCGTAATGCTCTCGTTTAAATTACTGAATATATTGGTCGGGTAGTGACTGGCATAGCATAGCAGTGGGATAATATAAGCACGTGGAAATATTTTTAAATTATTATAATTTTTAAACATAGTAACTGTAAGTAGGTGCGAAATCTCTATTTGTGGATAAAGTGAACTGTAGTCGTCGCTCAAAGGTAACCTATTTTCTAAATTACCTGTTTCAAGATTATTTTTCTTATAATTACGTGTTAGTTGCCCTCACTCCAGACACCAAGAGATTCGAGAGTTTTTGTTTCTGAAATCTGTTTGGCGTAAGTTTTTGTTAGTCTGCAGTGTTTGCAAATATTTGTTTCCAGAAGAATTCACACTGAAAAAGAAATAAATGACTTTCACTCGCAAACTTTCGTCAAGACGAATTTGAGTTCAAACACGACAACTTGCTGAGGAGTGTCTCGCAGACTTTTCTACTCAGTATAGTAAAAAGTGAAACAATTGAACAGCCGAATATAAATAATGATAATAAAAATACACGACTTTGTTTCTTTTCGGTTAAACTCGAATATTAAGTAGTGATGCTGTCTGTGTAATACGATGAAAGGAATGTTTTTCTTTCTTATTCGAAGTTACATGGCTTCGCTTCGTAAATAAATGACAAAACTCAGAATTATTAATGTCAAGAAGATTTGAAAACTATTCCATAGAAGAGTGTAAATGTGAAGACGGCGATGTCTCCAAACCACGATGTTAAACCGTGTGTCTGGGCATGTTATGTTATGACAACAAAGAAACATAATCAAGACGGATGAATATTTTGAAACAAACAACCCGTCATCGCCTCCGTTCCCAGGAGTGAGACATGTGTTTTTGTGTTCTGGTGAAACCACGACTTCTGGGGCCCGGGGTTATTCCACCAGGCGCCGCGTCGCTCCATGACGACGATCCCCTTTCCTCGCAACGCCAACAGCCGCCTCTTGTGGCCCGTCTGTCTCCGAAGGGTCTACGATCTCTTCCAAGGATGCACGTGGCGGGCCCCTCTTGCGTCAACGTCTGCGAGCGGCCAGTAGCCGTTCTCAGAAGCGGTGCCGTACGCAGTCTGGGATTCGCGCACGGCGCGCTGAACTGAATTGAATTGAATTGAAGATGTTACGTTGTCAGTGGCGGGATTCACCCTATCAAGGCTGTCTTCGTTCAATGTTCGAGGAAGGAGCAAACGGACGCAGAATTTGCCGACAAGAATGCCTTTGAAGTAGGTTGCATGCCTACATCGACAGCGGCAGTTCATAACGGGGTCGGTATCGACCCCCCGAGGTCGATGATCAAGAGGTCAATTGGGGGTCAATATCCGAATATTTGTATGCATCGACGACTCATCGTTATAATGATCGAAATCCCATACATTACATAAAAAAGATTTATGAATTTATTATTTTTGTCGTAGAGAGCTGCAATACTTCTAATAATAAATTACAAATTCACTCAACTTCTTTCTCATCATTCCCATTAATAAAATAAAAATTTATCGCACTTTATCGCATAACCTGTGAATTTGTTTTTAAATACTTATTTATATTTGTAATAAATTTAAAAATACAAATGGAACAAAAAATCTAACCATTTTTTTCAAAACTTCTTCACATTTTTGCATATAACTGTTACCTTAAAATTAGTTATGAGCAATTATTTCTATTATGATAATGTTGTTTGCTGTATTTTATAGAAACTTAATAGCATGGGGTCGATGAAATCAAAAGGGCCCGATGCAAGAAGAAGCTTGGGAACCCCTGATCTACAGCAAAATCAATTGACTCCAGATACCTTATGAAGAAAACCGATTAGTGAATTATGATGTGAAAAATTATACTTTTGGTGCAAAAATGATTTATCAACGAACGAACGAACTCAAGTTTCAGAATAATTTTTTGCTGGGAGTGCATAACGTGCGATACTGTGAAACTAGCAAAGAAGATGGAGAATTAATGTTCGTAAAAAATATTTAAGAGATATTAGAGGTAGCCTTTGCTTATTTAATGTAATATATATATATACATATATACATATATACATATATACATATATACATATATACATATATACATATATACACACACACACACACATTGAACGTATAATGGCACGAAGCTATCGGGTTACAGCAATTAAGTTGATTATATTCACCTAAATTTAAAAGGCATTGATTAAAGCAATCAGTCAAAGCTTAATTTAGTGATGTGAAAGAAAGCTGCTAACAAGGTCGTCGGGGCGTGATGAATGCACATGACCGTGCACTCTCCGAGTGATAACTCATTCACCAGATTGAGGAAGAGAAAGAATGAAGATGCATGAGATGTGCAGTTCATGTTCTTTACTCCCCATCCATTACATCTTTTTGTGACCGTCGGTTCTCTCTTTATGAGTCTTGTCCAAGACCGATTCTGAGACAATAAGGCGGAATGTTTTATTGAAACAAGCGATTTAATAGTGTTTACATTCCGCTCTTCTGTTCTTGTTTTTGTTCATGTTTTTGTGACTGTTAATCATCTCCAAATCTAACGACCGGGGAAATATTATAAAAAATTCTGAAATACTTTGTTATATATTTTTTCATTATCGTACGTTGCAAGAGATGAAATTTTCTCATTTTGTTTTTATTTTCTTACATTTTTACTTTTGCAATAATATTTACGTATTTTCAGAGATTATAACAGAATTATATTACATACACTGTGGTTTTGCTATTTTTTAGTATAACCATTCTTAAAATATCTCTGCTATGTAATTATTTTGTTC